TGGCAGTTTGGACTCACCAGCCATTCCATGGAAGAAAGATGTGGTAGTCTGCTTCCATGAAGATTTACAGCCTTGGAAACCCTATGGGCAGTTTTACTCTGTCCTATAGGGTCGCTGATAAGAATCGACTCAATGGCAGTGGGTTGGTTTTCCTTGGTTATCTACAGTCACTTTGATAAAGGCCTCAGAATTTATTTACAAGTTCCTAAAATACTTTCTTATTCAGATGTTCTATATGTTAGGAGCTCTGGTGGTGTAGTGCCTAAGGCATTTGACTGTTAACCAGAAGGCTGGTGGTTCAAGCCCACCAGCCACTCCTCTGAAGGAAGGTTGGGCAATCTACTTCCATAGTGATACTGCCTCGGAAACCCAAGGAGGGGTTGCTATGAGTCAGGTCCAACTCAAGGGCAAATAACAATAACAACAACGACAACTTCCCCAGAAGGTGGTATCTAAACTATAAAAAGCTATCTATAGCTCTGAGAGAAGGTGCCTTAGTGGCACAGTGGTTAAGTGTTTTTGGCAGCTTACAAAAGTCCACAGTTCAAACCTATCAGTCTCTGCCATCATCAGACTTACAATTTTTCTTTAGTACTTGTTTATAAATCACAATTCTTTTCCTAGAACTTTATTTCTGGTTCATATGCTTCATATAAGGTGGTATCTAAACTGTAAAAAGCTATCTATGGCTCTGAAAGAAGGAGCCTTGGTGGCACAGTGGTTAAGTGTTTGGCAAGTTCTTCAAGACCGGAGAAAGGTATGTCAGTCTGCTCTGTACAGCCTTGGAAACCCTATGGAGCAGTTCTCTGTCCTATAGGGTTGCTATAAATTGGAATACACTCAACTAGCAGTGAGTTTGGTTTTGATTATGGCTCAGAAACCACTGCTTACCCATGCTTTGTACCTCTAAAAACACCCTGGCTTTCATATTTAGTGCAGTCTCACTGTTCATGCAATCTTACTTGAAAGCCTATTAGAAATAATATCCACTTCCTACCTTTAAATCAGAAAGATTTTTAGATGTGAGATTAAAACAAATCAAAACCAAAATTAAAAGCCCAATCATTAAAGCACATGCAGTTTCAGAACCTCTACCGCAGTAGAGTTAAGACACAGACAGAAAAGGAGCCAAATTTTATTCAAACTAGAAAAAACCAGCAAACTGCATCAAGAAATTAAAGGAAGCCCTCCATTTACCTTTTTCCATCAAACTGACCAATCAAAAACTGTATCACATCAAGTCATCATACTTCAAATTTAAAATGCTTTATGTAAATTTTAAGGAGCTCTGGTGGTGTAGTGGTTAAGGAATTTTTCTGCTAACCAAAAGGTCAGTGGTTTGAACCCACCAGCTGCTCCATGGCAGAAAGATGGGGCAGTTTGCTTCCTTAAAGATTTACAGCCTTGGGAACCCAATGAGGATCAATGAGTCAGAATCAGCTCAATGGCAGAGTTTAGTTTTTGCTTTATGTAAATGTTATTATATAGGCCAATAATACTTTACATGGGTAAATCACTATGCCATTTACAAAGTGATTTCATCTTCATATCTGACTTGATCTTCACAAATATCCCATGAAGTCAGTCAAAATGGCTATCATCTCCACTTATGAAAGGAAATAACAGGCTCACAAATCAAATTAACTTGCTAAACATCATTAAACATCATGTCTTCTGACTCTTAATCCAATGCTCCTTTTATATTTCATCATGGAGCAATATGAACCAGAAATAAAGTGCTAGGGAAAGAACTGTGATTTATAAACAAGTACTAAAGAAAAATAGGAAGTCTGCTGATGGCAGAGGAAAATCTTTAACTCACCTTACTTAATTTCTAATACTTTCTGAGAAATCCCTGTAGGCCTTGTAACAGCTTTCCTCATATTAAATGCCCTTAAAAAAAATAAAAATAAAAAACTCTATGTTTAACAATTAGTTTCTATCCTTCCCACATTATAGGGATAAATATCATCTTCTAACTTTAGAAATGATTTGATCAAGTTACTCTAGTACAATACATTGGGCATGAACTTTGAAGCAGACTAATTTTTAACAGTATTTAATTTTAACCTAGTCAAAACTACAAAACTGCCAGGAAGAATATTTTTGAAAATGTAAAGCTATATAGTACTTAGAGTATGGCAACTTCCTCACCTTAAACAAACACACAAACTCAAAAGCAATCCAGCCTCTAGTACTTCTGCATTGTTAGATGAGTCTGCATTTTCTGTTTTAAAATACTCTGGGCTTAACAGGCCTTGCCACCCTGTCCATGCTCTTACCAAGTTCAGAAACCATTACTTCTATGACTTGAGCAGTTGGTTATCACGTAGTTTTTTAAAATCTTTATTTAACTTGGATAAAAATAAAATTATACAACCTAAACGATACTTTGGACCCAGTTAGTAAATCAGACATCCTAACCAACTCTGCATGTTTCCTATGCCCTGCAAACGGACTGGAAACCTGCTAATATTGAGCCAACACAGTATATAAAAAGAAAAGGTGGAAAATACTGAAAATAACTTGGGATTTGGGGAGGGAAGCATCAAAGAAAACAACCTAAGAAAATGAAATATGAACATTATAGCCTTAGGGGGAGGAAGAGCAAATGAAGGCTCAGAATAGATATTAAAAGTTAAGGAACACTAAGAATTGAGGCAAATCCAAATTTTTTTAAGGCTCATAATGGGCAAACATGCAGAGTATTTCTATGAAGGAACAAGGCAGCCCTTTCTTTATGACAGAAAAAAACGTGAGCTAGGTAATGAATTAATGTTATATATTCATCCATATCCATAACAGAAAATAAAAAATGCAACCCAAAATACGACATATAAAACTATCATTCCAAGTGATTCCATGTAAACAAGCTTATAAACGCCCTGTTTATAATAGTTGCTTAACAACTTCTTTATTCCTAAATTTTTACAAACAAGAAACTTTGCTATATGTAGATCTCTTCTGTAAGTTAGTATGACCAATCTTTTGTCACCTAATGGATCACAGAATTAATCAACATTGTATTACCTTAATTGAAGAAAGGTTAAGCACTTTGGTCTTTGATTTTACTTTATATGGTACAAAGGAAACAGATCAAAAGACAATGATACACACAAATGCCAAGAATCTTACTGGTTTTTAATTCATTTCTTGTACCTGCTATCCAAATTTATTTAAATTTGTTATACAGTCTGCAGATCAAGCACCAGAGCCTCTACCCAAGCTTTTGCTGTTTTTGCTTAATTGCTTTTTAAAATAATGTTTAAAGGGGTCTACATGACTGAAATTGCTAAATCTGCATCCTTTTTAACATTAAATATTTTCTAATTAAAAACACAAAATACAGAAATGTAAAAAGAAAAAATAATTTGTAGTTTTACAGTCTAATCACTTTTATAATTATGAATACCCTTTCAGTCTTATTTCTAATAGACTACTCCTTGTTCTGTAGTTTCATTTACAAAATTAGAATTACACTATTTTCTAGCCTATTTTCATTTGAATGCTCAAACGAGCATTTAAATATTATCTGAGAATGACTTTCATGTCTCCTTTGACTAAAATCCCATCCTTAGGAAAGGATTAAAAAGTACGCATTGAAATAACAACCCTTACTCTATCCTTCCCTTCGGCTTTATGACTTGATCTCAGGAAAGAATAGTAAGCCATCCACACTAGCATCCTACGTGTGATAAACATCCCCAGAAAAGTGCAGGGCCTAGTAAGATTGCAAACCTCAAGCCTAAATATATGATGCTCTAATACGTGAGATTTCAAGCACTACTAGAGAGCTCTGGTAGCATAGTGCCTAAGGCACTTGACTGCTAACCAGAAGGCTGGAGGTTCAAACCCACCAGCCACTCCTCGGAAGGAAGGTTGGGCAACCTACTTCCGTAGTGATACCGCCTCGGCAACCCAAGGAGGGGTCGCTAAGAGTCGAGTCCGACTCGAGGGCACACAACACAACATCCAGTGGATAGGATCTTACTGAAAGACAGATCTCCTAAACTCGCAGAACTAAAAGTGTTACCTATTCTACCTACAAAAAAATAAATAAATAAAATAAAAAAGCCTATTACGTTAAAAAAAAAAAAAAAAAAGCTACACTAGAGAACAGCACTGCAAAATTTCACCTCCTTAATAAATACCTTAATTGGCTGAGTTTGTTAAAATTGGCCAATTCCAATGGCAGAGTTAGATTCATTATACAGAAACAAACATGTAAGGTAGTGCGTGGGTCAGCTGCTACCGAGAGCATATCGATCATGATCGATTCTATAGGGGGCCCGTGAAACTAGAGGAGATTTAATCATTATCAGTCTGGTGTATAAGCAGAAATCTCAGCTGCATTATTTAATACGTAATCTTCCTCGTCCTAACATCAAGGGCTTCAACGTCACCAAAATAGATGGCCAAGCTGAAAACCCGGCAGGGTGACGCACATAGCATCTTGCCATATGGATACTCATCAATCGGAACCGAGTGGCACCCAGAGTTTGCTCACATAGGAGGGTCATCCTGGCCGTCGCTTCCCCCAACCCTGGCGCACAGCTCAAGTTCGTATGCGGGAGCCGAAGGCTACTGGACCACCAGAACGAGCGCCCCAGGAGCCAGCTCCGGCCACTGGGGCTGCGTACTCGCAGCCCCAAGGCTACCCGTGTGGCCGCACACGACAGACGCCAGGGGTTGACCCCGCGGCCCAACCAGCCCCCGCCTGGAAGGCCACCCTGCGAACGCCCCCCGAAGGCACCAACTAGGGGCCGCTACAGTGAGCTCCGAACCCTTTCCCGTGGATCAAACTCGACCAGGGCCGTACCTGAAAGGCTAGCGCCACCTCCGCCCGACTGCGCTGGCTGTCGCGGTGGCAGCAGGCAAAGCTCCCAGCACCAGTGACGCCTCTCATAAAAACAACCTGCTTGCAGGCGCCTGCAGCCGGGAGGAGGGGGCCGGCGCTGCCCCGCAACGCATGCCGGGACTCGTAGTCCAACCCGCGCCTCATGTATGGTCGCGGCGGAGGGAAGAACTACAGTTCCCAAAGAGTATCGCAGCCCTCCACGGGGAAATTGCAGGAAGCGGCGCCAAGCGGCCGCAATCTTCACAACATCCGGGCTCTAGCGCTGGAGGGGGCGCTGCGGCCGGTTGCTATGGAGACGGGCTACAACTGTTCTAAAGGATTCGTGCTTTCACCCGGGAGGACTTCTGCCTGGATTAGGCTTATTGGTTTACGCTTATTGATCCTGCCAACAGTTCACTTTCTTTCTTTGCTGCTTTTATCCGGTGCAGTAAGAAAGCTGCGTCTTCTGTGCTCAACGGCGTTACCATCCGCTGCAGGAAAAAACAGCGTTTGCCGGAAAAAAGAAGACAGCAACGATGACCGACTACAACTGGGTGGGTTTGGATAGAGGGCTGATGTTTCTGAATGTTGGTATTCTTTGGGGCATCCCCACTCCCACCCACCCTACTCTATCACTGAAAAAACGCCTGCCTAAGAAACCACTGAGCTACTACTACTACACAAGTGTAAATGTGCGGTGCATTAAACCAGACTTGTCTCTGAAAGTATAAAGACGATTGGGGTGACACGTAACTTGAACCCCATTGCAAACAGTAATGGTGATGATTTTGAACAAGGAAAACATACTTTGTCAATTTTATATTTATTTACGCTGCCTTGTTCAACAAAGTTGCGCCTATTACTGTTAAAAGAAGCACTAGAAAGTTAAGGTTTGATTCTGTCCCCCAATTGTGGCAAATAAGAATAAATAAGAAAACATTAACTCTGAAGATGGTGGGTCTTAGCAGAAACTAAAGGTGCCTCAAAATTAGATTTTGTGTGTATGTATCACTATTTAACACCAAACCTAAAAAAAGAAATGAATGTTAATCGCATAATTGCAGCATCTGCACAGAAATGAGCATTTTTATTATTTCAGTGGCTTTTTCATTTATCTCTAAATGTGTGTGTGTTTATACCGAAGAACTTGGAAAAATCAAAGTGAACTAGCTTTCTCTAACTTTAGGAGGGCCTGAAAATTAAATTAGTAAGAAACCCATTTTTATAGATTTGTATACTTTTCAAGGCACTTTCATTGGCAAATTTTTAGATTTAATCTTGTAATTTTTAAAATTTTAATTAACCTTTTTATCTTTGAGTAATTAACAGCTGTTGACATGGTATCTATCAGTGAATTTAAAGAAATTATTATTGTTTTATTTTAATTTTTTCTAGTTTGAACTCCACATTTTAAGAATATCTATATTTAAAAAGAGTGAACTCCAAATAAGAAAGCTGCAGTAAGGGCCTATGAATTAAAGTAAAAATAATGGGTAGGAGTCCCTGAGTGGTACAAACTATTAAGAACTCCACTACTAGCTGAAAGGGGGCTCTGGTGGTGTAATGCCTAAGGCATCTGATGGCTAACCAGAAAGCTGGTGGTTCAAACCCACCAGCCACTCCTCAGAAGGAAGGCTGGGCAATTTACTTCTTTAGTGATATTGTTATGTGCCATCGAGTCAGACTGAGTCATAGCGACCCCTCCTTGGGTTTCCCAGGCAGTATCATAGATTGCCTAACCTTCCTTCAGGGGAGCGGCTGGTGGGTTTGAACCACAAGCCTTTTAGTTAGCAGTCAAGTCCCTTAGGCACTAAGCTTACAGAGCTCCTTACCGTAAACCTGGGAAACCCAAGGAGGGGTTGCTATGAGTCTGATCTGACTGGAGGGCAGTGAGTGAGCTGAAAGGTTTGAACCCATCCAGAGGCTCCTTGGAAGACAGGCCTGGCTATCTGCTTTCTAAAGGTCAGCCTTGAAAGTCTATTCTACCCACATGGAGTCACCATGAGTTGGAATGAACTCTATGGCAACTAAAAACAAAAGCAATGGGTATTCTGTTTCTGGGTTTATAAATATGTGTTCTTGGAGACCTAAAAAATTTAAGTAGACACTAACTTCCAGATTGTGTGAAGAATTATGCTAACAAATCTTATCAGTTAATACCTTATGTATTCATGAGATTTGGTCTTCTATATTACATTTTGAGCCAAAGCCTATCAGAATTTACAGCCAATATGAAGAGTCTTCTTTGCTGGAAGGAGATAGTATTAACAATAGAATTAACTCCCACACCCATCTTCCCATCTCCCGTGTTGGCTTAGTGCCCTAAAGTAAATTAATGTGGTATTTTTCCCACAAATCACAGGGCAGCCATCTCTTACTTATTTGCCTTCCCCTGTGCTGTACAAATCTAGACATGTTGAGAAAAACATAACTGATGGGATAGCATCAAGTCTTAGGAATCTGGTGATTTACTGTTATCCAGTGTCCATGGTTTTGATTTAAAGCGAATGAATGTTTCACATAAAGTACAATAAAATGTTAAAGAAAGAGAGAAAAATAGTGTCAAAAGAATCAACAGCAAGACCTGATGAGTATATGATTGCTCTGACTCTCAGGAAACTTTGAGTTCTACTTCAGCTTTGCCACCTTCCTTACAGGGTCATGAATATTAAATGAGTATTAGTACACCATAGTATACTAATGTAAAGTGTTATTGACCTGGAAGTTTCAGAACTAAATTCTGAAGCTCATACATGTATTCAGGTAAACCTACAAGCAGAAAATGATAAAAATTGTTGTCATTTATTGTTTACATCCAGTTCTCTCATTTTATCCTGAAACTACAGGAATTAGTGCACATTTTTACCAGTTTCACAGATGATATACAAGCAAAGGAGAATGAACTGATAAAGGATTGCAGCCTAGGTCAGAGTTCCCGCCTTGTGCTGCTTCTCCAACACTGTTCATAATCATTCAAATCTGAGCAAAGGAAAGGGAAAGTGGACTAGATACATTTGCACATTTGATGATCAAGACTTCAACACAAAAAGGTTTACTTTATTCTAAAATTTTAACTTTGCTGTGACATTTATTGGGAGCTCTGATAGTGTAGTGCCGAAGGCATTTCACTACTAACCAGAAGCCTGGTGGTTCAAACCCACCGGCCACTCCTCAGAAGGAAGGTTGGGCAATCTACTTCTGTGGTGACACTGCCTCGGAATCCCAAGGAAGGGTCACTATGAGTCAGATCCAACTCAACAGCAGTGAGTTTGGTTTTTGTTTTTTTGGTAACATCTGTTAGCATCACGCAGGAATTCAGGGTGAGTTGAATTATGCTAGAGAGAAACCTACCTAATCTGACCCAAATTTGAAATTCAAAGAGGCTTTGTCCTCACCTTGTATAGTTCTGTAAAGTAAACATTCCTATCTCCATTTTAGAGTTCAAGAAACTAAGTTAATATACTTGGATCTTGTTGTTGTTAGTTGCCATCCAGTAGATTCTGACTCATGGCAACCCCATGTGTACAGAGAAGAACTCCACTGAGTTTTCAAGGCTGTGACCTTTCAGAAGCAGATTGCCTGCCTGTCTCCTGAGGTGTCTCTGGGTAGGTTCAAACCATTAACCTTTCAGTTAGTAGCCCAGAGATTTAGGGTATTCTTAAAGGGTCTCAGCCTCATGAATGTCAACTATTTACTGTAGCATTTGAGAGAGAAAGAATAGACCTTTAAAGTGTACAGCTATGTGTCACTTAACATCCATAATAAATTGTACAAAATGGGATATTATGTGATTTGGATGACGTGCAAACCACATATGGTATGTGGTGGTTATGTTTGTGTGTCACCTTGGCTGGGCCTGGTTGAGTGGCTGGGCAACTGGTGGTAGTTATTCCCCATGATGAGCCTGGCAGTCAACTCCATGGTGGGATCTACCACAAGCAGCTGAGTAGCTGCCTTGGGTATGTGGTCTGTTTCCCATATATAAGAAGCAGCTTTGGGAATGGTCTCTAGCTTATGGCACGCTTGAACCCTGCATGTAGCCGTGTGATTGCTCAGCAGCTTGCCATGGACTGGACTTACTGGCCTGCCGTGTGGTTTGGTAACATTGGAACTGTGCCTTTTTACGTGTGAACCTTGGATTTGTCAGCCTCAGCAGCCAGCAGCTGAGTGAAGAAACCCATCTAGCTCCAGTGGGCCAAGAGCAGGAGGCAGAGCTGGATCCCAAGGTTGAGGGGATTTCACCCAGCCCGTAGAGCCTGGCACTTTGAACTTGGACTAAAATCCTCCAAATTATAAGAATAAACTCCTGCTTGTTAAGGCCATCCCATTTGTAGTATATTCTTGTCAGAGCTGCACTAGGTAACCAGAACATAGTATATATAGTTGTATATTTTTTCCTTTTTTACTTTGTATTGTGACTTGGGTGAAAGTTTACAGAATAACTTAGTTTTCCATTCAACAGTTCATACACATGTTGTTTCATGGCATTGATCATAATCCCTACTATGTAAAAGCACTTATCCAACTTCCTCTCTGTGTTTTTTGTTTCCATTTGTCCTTTCCTATCCCTTACTGCCTCCTGAACTTTGTCTCTGGGCAAACACTGCCCTTTTGACCCACTATGGTTGACTCTTCTAAACATTATGTACCTCCCTAGTGTTAATATTCTCT